ATTAAACGGATCCGAAGCCCCCCAGTTGTTGGTCTCCCCTCCAGGAAGCCGGGCATTTAATCTTGCCTCCTGCCTCTCTCCCACAGGCGAGCCCCAAATCTACGGGCACGTCCTCATCCACGAGCCCCTTCAGCACGTGATCGGCATCCAGGAAAACACGCCTCTCGTGGCCGCCACCCGGGAAACCGCCTTCGTGCTACGCAGCGATGGGCCCTGCCAGCTTCTTTCTCCGGAGATCCTGGCCCCCCTGCAGCAAGAATTGCAGTGCCCTCTGCCCCCTCCCTTGGGAGGAGAGGAGACGCTAGCGGCCGCCATGGGGGAAGAAGACGCAGGGAGCCCCAGGTCTCCCTGGTTGACAGGGTGCCCCGGGGACCCTTCACCCCCTGTGGCCCCCAGCCCACAGAGGGGTCTTCTCTCATCCACCAAATCCACTCCTGAGACGGAGCGTGGAGGAAGGAGCGCCCACGAAACGCCTGATTCTCCCGAGCCGGGCCAGAAGACAGGGGAGGGCGTCCAGCCAAGGCTGCCCCCTGGCACTTCTGGGGGAGCAGGGCAGGCCGGCGCTGCCCCCCGACTGCAGCGGCCTCACAGCGACCACCAGGCAGAAAATGCTTCTGCCGCCTCTGACTCTCCCGAGGAACTGAAGGCCAAGGTCCCCGGCTGCTCCACTTTCTCTCCCTCGGAGGGGGCCTCGCCCCTGGCGCAGGGAAAGGGCTGCCCCCGTCCAAGCACTGGGGAGAGGAGCCATTCCCCCCCTTTCTGGAAGGGAACGGACCGAGAGGCAGCAGGGTTCAGCCAGGATGCCTCTGGAGCGCTGGCCGGGAGTGCCCGCTGGGGCACCCTGAGTCCTGCTGCTGCTTCTGAACCCGCCAAGGCCACGCAGCCCCTGCCTCTGGACTCCTCCGCAGAGGGGTCACCCCCCACCTCTGGGGTCCCAGCCCAGGAACCCCTTTCTCCCGATTTCCCGGCTGGGGCAGAGTCCCCAGCCTGTATCGCAGGACAGTGCCCGAGCGTGCCGCTCCCCAAGTTCCTCCCTTCCTCACCCGTCCGCCGGTGCCTCTCCTCCAGCGCTGCCGCCATTTCCAGATACATCGCCGCCTCCTGCATCAGCCAGAGCTTGGCCAAGCGAAACGGTGCCCCTCCCCCCGAGGACCCCCAAGCACCCAGGCTGCCAGCCAACCCCTTGGCTTCGCTCCCCAAGGCGGCGCCCAAGCGCCACCGAAACCTGG